TCAAAACCATGCTGCTTCTCTCCTCTGCCTACGTCTCCCCTCGACCCTTACAACACACTACAGTCAGTCTCCCCAGGCCCTCATCTCTCGGGTTGGTTGGGCTCCCCCATTGCAACATAAACACTAGCTCCTTAAAACTATCATTCTGTTCCTTGTACATCAACTATACTTCAATGAAAAAATGAAAGAAAAATTCTTTTTATTCTATTTTAATTTCTCCAGCTTTAAGTATCCTGGCCTGTTCTCAATCTGCATATCATTCTAGTTGAGGACAAGTCTGGCTTTTTTTTTCCTCCTACCACAGACTCCGTGTGTGTGTGTATGTGTGTGTGTTTATACCAGTTACTTTGCAATCAGCATTTTTAATTTTTTTTTTTGGTCACCCTAGGTTTTCATTGTTGCTTGTGGGCTTTCTGTGGTTGTGGCAAGTGGGGCCTACTCTTTGTTGCAATGCTCGGGCTTTTCTCTGTGATGGCCTCTCTTGTTGTAGAGCACCGGCTCTAGGTGTGCAGGCTCAGAAGTTGTGACTTCTTAAAGCTTAGTTGCTTCAAGACCTGTGGAATCTTCCCAGACTAGGGATCAAACCCATGTCCCCTGCTCTGGCAGGCAGATTCCTATCCACTGTACCACTAAGAAAGTCCACGATCAGCAGGTTTTTAATCAACATTTGCTTTGGGGCCACTTCCTAAGTCAGGATGTTGTCCTGGGACAGCCTTGGTACGACAGTGGTGAGCACCCAGGAGGCAGAGCAGAGAAAGTGTTTGCTCCAGGGGTGGCACGTGTGTTTACTTGTGTTTGGGGGAGAGGGGAAAGGCCTCGTTGCCAAGCCAGGGTCTCCCATTCAATGACTGTGAGACCAAGTTACCTGGGCTCTCCATGCCTCAGTTCCCTGCTCAAAATGAGAATAAAAATGGCCTATACCATAGAATTTTAGTGATGGTTAAATGAGAAAAATGGATGCAAAATATCTAGCTCAGTGCATGTAGACAGTACTTAATAAATGCTCAGTAGTATTAGGTGTTGTCACCGGTCATCAGTCAGGAGCTGTTTATTGTCAGGTACACGTTCAGTGGGCAGGATGGGGGACCCAGGGGATAAGGCGGGGTGGGGCATGCTTGTACCTTCAGGAAACGTTGCACCTGCCGGAGAGGTAGGAACACACAGGTCCCCAGGCAGTGCACGTGGACTGTGCAGGGCAGGATGGACACCGCCCTCCAGGCGCCAAGGTCAGTGGAAACAGCCTGGCGTTGGATTAATCAAAGGCAGCTTTAAGGAGGAAGTGAACCTTGACTGTGGACTTGAGAGTGGTTTGAGGCTCGATTGCTGGAGAGGAAGAGGCTTGGAATGAGATCCTTCCTGAGGGGAGCAGGGCTTGTCCGAGAGCAGGAGGGGACTGGGAAGGAGACCCTGCGGTGGGAACTTCAGGCAAAGAGCGGAGGTAGAGTGAGGCCAGGTGGGAAAGTTTCGGGGGGAATCAATGGCTGGGAACTTTCGAGAGTTTTCAAATGAAGGGGGGTCGTGGGCTGGCAGGGAGGGTATCGTGATGCTGCAGGAGAGCTGGTGTCTGGGCCCTGGGGCTTACAGAGCCGGGAGCACTTCCGGAAAGCACAACGGAGGTAAAGGAGACTGCACTCCAGGAGGGGTTGTCAGGAGTCCTGAGGTCCATGAAGAGCCTTCTCCGCGGTGGTGGATACGGATGGAGTGGCTGGGGGATGGAAGGCACTGGCCTGAGGTGCTGGGAACCCCCCTTCTGCTCCCCCACCCACCCCTCCCCCAGCCGCAGAAATCCGGGGACAAAGGGCAGCACTTGGACAGCAGCCGGGAGGTCACAGGGGGACGCGCTCCCCTCCCAAACGCTGAGGCTATCCGCCAGCCGGGCCAGGACCGCTGACAAAACTGCCACGTGCCTTTGAATGACACGACTCCTCGCTGACTCACACAGTGACCAGTGTCGACCCTCAGAAAGGCTTTCTTTCTGGTTAGGTTTCCAGGCATGGGTGGTGGGGGGCGGTGCCCGTCTGGGGCCCGGGGCAGGTATGGGAGGTGACAACACTTCCTAGGGGGCACCTAAGCTGCTCCAGTCCTCAAGCTCTGGGGGCGGCCCAGTGGGGGTTCCGTGAGCAGCAGTGACCGTGGCCGGTGCTTGTCCTGTGGGTTGGGGTCCCCAGGCGTCATGCTCTGTGTGTGGACAGCACCGAGTCGCCCCTTCCAGGGCAGGGCTGTTGGGTCAGCTCCACCTACCCGAGTCCCTCTCTGCATCTCCTAACTGCACAGGGTGGACGCGGCCTCTTAGGGAATGAAAACTGGTGGCTGGCAAAGTCCCAATTCAATTATGCGCCCTTTTGGCTGCGACAGTAAAGAGGTCTCAGTAAGGACCCTAGATGTGCCCAGAGGGGCCCAGGGCTGCATCCCATCTGTCTACTTGGGGGTCTGGGGGAGGCTTCCCCCGAGGGCTCTACTCAGGATGAGCTGACGCCCTCATTCTGGGTCTTTGTCCCCATTCAGTCCTTCCTCGACGTTCACTGGACCTGACATAGCATGTCCTTTCCTGTTCTGGCTGTGTCTCTGGCACTTAGGGTGTAACAGGTACATAGCAGGCCCCCAGGGCACATCTGGTAGATGACTGTGTTGAGTGAATGAAACCCTGAGTCAGGAGGGCAGAGCAGCTATCTGACCTGGCTCTCTGGGCAGGGTGGGGTGGGGGGTGTGGCATCCTGTCCTGGACCCCTCCTACTTAACCATGCTCTGTCTGCACCCCAGGCCAAACCTTGGGCCTCAGAGCCTCCTTCTGGTCCAGCCGGGCAGGGCAAGACTCAGGAGGCCAGTCATCAGCACCCGCATTTCCTGCCTCGCTACCCTGGGAAGGCAGGGGAGATGAGCCAGCTGTGACCTCTGGGGTTGGTGTCACCTCTGTCCTGAGGAAAGAATGTGTCCTGAGAGATGCTGTGTGTGTTTTGGCGGGGCGGGAGGGGGGAGTGTTCAATTTCAGGTGCCGCCTATGTGGAAGGTACAGAAAGATGCTAGCACACGTGGTAGGGTCTTTTTCCCCCCAATTTTTAATATCTCTATCTATATATATTAAACTTTTTATCGGAGGATAATTGCTTCTTTCTGCTATACATCACCGTGAATCAGCCACAGGTATACATATATCTCCCACTCTCTCAAACCTCCCTCTCATCTCCCATCCCATCCCACCCCTCCAGGTTGTCACAGAGCACCGGAAGCATATACACTACCGTACGTAAAATAAAACATACATATATATATTTTTTAATGAGCTGAGAGTTTGCTGGAGAGCACAGGGTGGCCAAACATCTGCTCGGTGATTCCTGCCCTGGGTGATTTTTATGAGCCAAGATTAGCAGCTCCAGGGAAGTTTGGCCTTAGCTCCTGTTGGCGGTGGTCAGAGCGGCCCTGCCTCCTGTCCGCAGAGACAGGGCCCCAGTGTGGCCTGAACCTGGGGCCTGCAGACCCCTAGGGGTTTCACAGGGGCCTGATGGTGGTGGGGGGGACAGGCTTGAGAGAGAGTGTCACCCCCTGGGAGAGAGAACTTGGCTCTCAGGCGTGGGGACAGGTCTGCTGCGGGGTGGGCGTGGAGGGAGAGGACCCCAGGGAGAGGCGTCCGGCCCTCCAGTTCCCCAGAAGGGCTGGTGGTGGGGTCCAGGGTGTTTGGACAAGGAAACTCTTTGAAACTTCCCTCCCGTCCTGCTCCGGCCCTGGTGCCCTCCCCTCCATAAAGCCATTAGCTTCTGGTGCCGGCCCTATCTCTGCTCCATCTCTGGTCCCAGGCGGGCATTCACAGACCTCCTGCCCTGGGGGACGGGAGGATTTATGGGGGCGGGGGGAGGGTCGGGGAGGGCGCGAGGTCTGTTAGGAAAGCTGGGTGTGGGGGAGCTGTTAGTGGCCGGCCAGGCCGGATCATTTCCGAGCCGGCTCTGCATGACAAAGGGGCTGGGGCGAGTCCTGGCTTTGATCTGCCCCCCACCCCACACCGCCGGCCACCTGCCTGTTGGTGTCCCCGCCCCAGCTGGGACCTCCCGAAGAAAAGCCTGGAGGGGGGTGGGGACAGCTGTGGCCCAGCACCCCCGGGCCCTGCTCGGCCACCTTCCTCTCCCGGTGGCCCCAGAGCAGAAATACCTCCTGGGCTGATGACCCAGAAGCCCTGCCGCCCCCTCCCAGAGAGCCAGGAAGCCCTGCGCTGAGCGGTGAGATGTGTGTGTGAAGTGGGGGCTCAGAGTGTGGGAGCCAGAGTTCCGTGAAGCTTGGGGTGCTGAGTGGCCTTGAGGTGTGGGTCGTGCCCTGGATGGGCGCTTGGGGGGAGGGGTGCATTTCCAGAGAGTTCCTCCAGCATCCCTGCTGGGGCGCTGCTGGGGCCCCTGGAGGGCATAGAGAAAGCACCACTGGAGGGGAGGGTACCTCCGCACAGCCCAGGGCGGCTTTTACATCTCCCGGAGGAGTGGGCTTGGGAAACTGAAACGTCCTTGCCTTCTCCTGTCTGTTCTGGTAGATGTGGGCTGGGATGTGGAATACGGTTTTGAGGGAGAAGGCACAGACTGAAAGGGAAGGCTCCTGTGAGCCCATAGGGAATGGACTCGCCAGGTGTTTTTAGCTCCATACAACATTTGCATCCCTGGGTAGGGGTGCAGAGGGGATGGCTCCATCTCTGGAGGAGGGCAGGTGCCCATGCAGCATCCCGAGCATCTCTGGCCTGATGTGGAAATGTCTCGTTTTCCTCTCTTTCCTGGTCTCTTGGCTCTCTGTTGCCTTAGGGAGCAGTCCTGAGCAGGGCTCCCCCCCAGCTGGGGGTGACCCTCAGGTGAGAAGGCCAGGGTGGGAGCGAGGCTGGGGGGAGGCAGACCTTTCGGGAAAGCGGGGTCTCCTGGTCCATCCCACACTGATTCTCCCTTCCATCTGTTCCCTCCAGGGAGCCCCGTCTCGGAAGCCGTCGGTCCCCGGGGTCATCCTCGGCCCTGGGGGGGGCGGGGCGCAGGCGGACCATGCCCAGCCTGCCGGCCCTGCTCGCCTTGCTGTTCGTCTGCTGGGCCCCGCTCCGAGCCGCAGCCAGCTCCTGGTGGTGAGTGCGGGGCCGGAGCCCTTCCCAGCCTGGCTCCTCTGGGCGATGGAGGTGGGGAGAAGGGGCCATTCCTTCATAGAACCCCAGAACACCAGACAGCTCTTCCTCTCTCTCTCCAGCTCCAGAGTTAACACAGCTCCCAGAGGATGAAGGAATAGTTCATCTGGCTTCTCTGATCCTGGCTACAGTCCTTTCTCCCTGTTCCCCCCTTTCCTCCCCCATCTCCGTGGCTTGTTAGAAATAGCTCTTTTGTTGTTAAACGATCAATAAGAATATTGATTTTTTTTTTTCCTTCGGCTGGTGAGGAAAAGGAGACTAGGATTCCCGGTTTTTAAGTCTGAAAAACCGCATGAGGGATTGACGGGACCACGTGTGGCTTCCTTTTGTGTTTTTAGGATGACTGTCATTGCTAGGCGCACAGGGAAACGGCAGGCACCCCCCCTTGCCCCCCACCCCCCGCCCCTGTTTGGTCTGGGCTCTGCCCTCATCTTGCTCAGCTGGCAGATCCACAGCTCAGCATTTTATTCTATGAGCCAGGGGAGAGCCCTAGAGGGTGGGCTCAGGGGCTGTGGGGGTGAGCAGGAAGTGAGAACTTTGAGAGTGTCTGGCCCTGTATGTAATTCAGATTCGACTTTAAGGCCTAAGGGGAATTCTATTTGAAGGCCTCGGTTGCTTTCCACACACATCGCACACTTGGGCCACTGTGGCCTCAACGCTCCTGCACAGAACCCTGTGCCCGTCCTGCATACTCGCCCCACTCCCCTAAAGGCTGCTTCCATCGCTGAGTGCCCTTCCCCCTCTGGTCACTTGGATCCAGATGCTCAAGGCGGTCTCAGGCATTCCGCTACTTGCGTGTCACCTGTATCTGTGCCTCGGTTTCCCTTTGAAAGCAAGGACTCTGCACTGACTCTCCTTCCCAAGCCCTATCCTCCGGGAGGGGGTGGAGCTCCGGGCCTGCTGCTGGCCCGGCCGGCGTGCTCACCCCGGCCCTCCCTCCGGCTGCAGGTCCTTGGCGATGAGCCCAGTGCAGAGACCTGAGATGTTCATCATTGGGGCCCAGCCTGTGTGCAGCCAGCTCCCGGGGCTGTCCGCTGGCCAGAGGAAGCTGTGCCAACTCTACCAGGAGCACATGGCCTATATCGGGGAGGGTGCCAGGACTGGCATCAGGGAATGCCAGCATCAGTTCCGGCAGCGCCGTTGGAACTGCAGCACCGTGGACGACGCCTCCGTCTTCGGGAGAGTCCTGCAGATTGGTGAGCGGGGCGGGCCGGGACCCGTGGGCAAGGAGGGGGTCTCCAGTGGCGGGTGGTCGGCTGGCCCTCGGTTTCCCGCCCAGCTCCAACAGGCAGCCGGCGGGCAAGGCCTCGAGCTAGGGGTCAGGGTCCGCGTTGAGTTCGAGCGCGTTGAGAAGCCCACCCACCACCAGTGCCCCAGTTTCAGCTCCAGGGCCTCCTCTGGAGCTGTGGGCAGAGAACACAGAATTGCAGCCCTGAGTGTCTGTGGAGTGTCTCTCTTCCTTTTGGACTCAGTTTGGTGATGGCTGTCATTAACCCAACCCAGATCCAGTCCTGGCCTTTTCATTTGAAAGAGAATGTGTGTGAAAGTGGGGGATGGGCAGACTGAAGGAGGAAGATGAGCGCCCACCGGCCCCTCCCCGAAGCCCTCTGCCTCCCCCCCAACCAGGATTCCCAGATCTCCCTCTCCAGCTCCTGGCCCAAGATTCTTTGGCTGCCCTATTGCTTAGATGGAGGTGTGATCTGGGGTCTAATTGTTTTAGGTCCTTTTGAAATGCAGTCCTCCCCTCCCTGGCAAGAAATTGAGAAATCCGGCCCTATTCTACTGGGTCTTATCCCCAGGGCCATAAAAGAAAGGTGTTAGAGCTTCAGGTCCCGGCTCACATTCTCCCAGAACAGCTTCCCTCTAAAAGTGACATTCTGGAGTCCCCCTAGGCTGTGTTTCTGGCAGGCAGTGAGCAGGGCAGCTCAGGCTTCTCTGTGCCTCTGTTGTGGAGCCCCTGTATCTGGCCCATGTGGAGAAAGTGAGGTTGGGAAGCACACTTGGAACCTTGCTTCTCTCCTTTGAATATCAGCTTGAGGTCTGTGAAAGGAATGCTCATGAGTTCCTGTAACCCTCCTACTGGGCAACTTTCCCAAAAGAATGGACCTGGGGGTCAGGCAGGCTTCATTCACAGTTTGTCCTTATTCAGTCACTCCTTCGTGTGACTCTTTGCGACCCCATCATTTGTAGTACACCAGGCTTCTCTGTCCTTTACTATCTCCCAGAGTTTGCTCAAACTCATGTCCATTGAGTCAGTGGCGCCATCAGCTTCAGCGTCAGTCCTTCCGTTGAATATTCAGGGCTGAGTTCCGTTAGGATTGAGTGGTTTGATCTTGCAGTCCAAGGGACTCTTTATCAGTTCTTCTCAAATAGTCATTTCTTCCTGGTGGGTATCTGGGTCAGCCATTCTCCCTGCCCACTGCATCTCAGGTGAGGAAACTAGAATGGCCCAGGTATGTTGCAGGCAAAAATCTCGGCTTTCTCTGCCCACCAAGCCTGTATAAAAAATACGGAGGCAGAATCTGGAGGAAGTAGAAAGGAGGCTTTAATTCTCAGCCGGCAGAGAGGGGGACACGGTAGGCTCATACCTCGAGAATTATGCCCACCCATCAATTCATTTCCTCGCCAAAGGTATAGAGAGAGACACCCCGTAGTCACTGCCAGGGAACTAGTATTTCTTTGGGACCGAGTGAATGCCTGACATTGGCCAGACGCTGTTCAGTTCATGTAGTTTTGTCACGTGAAGACCAAAAAAGTGAGGCTTTGCTTTAGGGGAGAAGGGGTGTCGGGACCACAGTCTACGTGGAGTGTGCAGTTTGCGTGGAGAGGGCTTCCCAGGTGGTACTAGTGATAAAGAACCTGCCTGCCAGTGCCCGAGGTAAAAGACATGAGTCTGACCCCTGGGTCGGGAAGATACCTGGAGAAGGAATGGCTACCCACTCCAGTATTCTTGCCTGGAGAAACCCACTGACAGAGGAGCCTGGTGGGCTACAGTCCATGGGGTCGCAAAGAGCAAAGAGACACAACTGAGCAACTTAGCACACACGCTTTTGCCAGTGAAAGAGGACACCAGTCTTTGTGCCCTGTTCGGTCACAGACGGAACCCTTCTGTTGTCCTTGCTGTCACCGTCCCCTTCTGCACCTTCCCTGCAGGCTTATGCTGCCTGGGAAGGTGGGCCGAGGCTGGGTTCTGACGGATCCTCTCCGTATGTCTGGCGTGGAACCTCCCCTTAGAGCCACTGCAAGCATCCACCACCAGAGGGCAGCAGAGTGCCCCAGAGGGCGCCAGGCCCCTCACCTGGAGGCACCTACTGGGTGGCCGGGCAGCTGTGGGACAGAGGGCGTGATGTTGTCCTGCTGTCTCCTTGTTGGGTGGAGATCCACCATCTCTCAGGAGCTTCATGGCTGTTTTATCAGCCTTTATCCTCTGAATTGTTTCACACATGGGCTTCCTTGGTGTCTCAGATGGTAAAGAATCTGCCTGCAGTGCAGGAGAACCAGGAGAAGAACCCCGTGAACAGAGGAGCCTGGTGGGCTACGGTCCACAGGGGTCAAAAAAAGTCAGACACACCTGAGCAGCTAAGCACACACATAGAGCTGTCCCCACACTGCTCATCCACTCCCAGGTCCCCACTTACCTGCTTGCTGAGAGCCGCACGAGGTCTGTTCCGAGGCTCACTTGAGACTCTCGTGCTGCCCCATTAGGGCGGAGTCGCCTGCACTCTGGGGCCCAGTGATGCTCCAAAACAAAGGAGGCGGAGTGACCGGGGGAGATGCCAAGCGGATTCACCGGTGGGTGATTCACCAGCTACATGGTGGGGTGGGACCCTCAGAGCCCTGGTGTCTGCAGTAAACGCCCAGCTGCAGAAAACATTGTTTTTAAAGGCGGTTCTGAGAAGGGTGACTCAGCTCTGCAAAATGTGTTTGCTAAAAAAAAAAAAAAAAAAGGAAATCAGACATATGTAACTTAGAAAAGAGAAAACATAAAAGGCATATTCATTGTTTTCAAATACTGAAGGGCTGTCAGATGGAGGAGGGATTAGCTCCAGCAGAGGGAAGTGGTAGGAAGGCATCTTTCAGCTTGTTCTGGGAAAGAACATTCTGGTGATCAGTGTCATTTAACACAGACAGACTGGGTGGCCTTGGGAACCCAACCCGCTTCTTCAAGTGTTAGTGTTAGATGCTCAGTCATGTCCGAACTCTTTGTGACCCCATGGACTATAGCCTGCTAGGCTCCTCTGTCCAGGGGATTCTCCAGGCAAGAATACTAGAGTGGGTTGCCGTTCCGTTTTCCAAGGGATCTTCCTGACCCAGGGATGGAACCCGGGTCTCCTACAATGCAGGCAGATTCTTTACCATCTCAACCAGTGAAAGCCCTGATTCTCCAAGGCAGGTTGTGAAAGCAATGCTCCTGACGGACGGAGTGTAGGTCTGGTCCGGCTTCAGATGGTGTCTGTCCTGGGATGCCAGGTAAGGTGTCAAGGCCCATTTTAAGAAGATTTCTCAGACATGACTCCCTCAAAGTGGGGTCCAGGACCCCTCCCAAAGACCTCTTGGCCATCTTACCATCCTGGGAGCTGTCACAGTCTGACTCCTCTGTCCCATAGATCCTGACTCTGGCCGAAGTTCACAGGGGCTCAAATGTCAGTCCCAAACGCTGGTCCCCGTGTGGCTTCCTGTATCACCTGGCTTTCCTGGTGCTGTTCTACTCCATATCTGACCAGAAGTCAGCCCCTGCTTAAAGGAGCAAAACTGATTTGCCCTGTGTGTTCTGGTGGCAAACTTCGCTGTGTCCTGCCGGACCATCCAGAAGTAAGGCCAGGTGGGAGATCGCACTGGACCTAGCAGTGACTTCAGACTGCCTGCCTTACCACCTGCTAAGACAAGGTTGTGGGATGGCCACCTTTGACCCTGGAGGCTCAGAAGAGGGGGACATGGGGAGCAGAAGAGTCTGCCCGATTAAAAAACATTTTTTTTTAAAAAGGGATTTCCTTGGTGATCCAGTGGTTCGGGCTTCACGCTTCCACTGCAGGGGGCATAGGTTTGATCCCTGGTTGGGGAACTAAGATCCTGCATGCAATGCAGTGTAGCCAAAAAGAAGAAATTTTTAAAAAATTTTCAAAAATGTTAATTTTTAAATGTTTAAAATTAAAAATTTTTTTTAATTTTTAAAAAGTAGAAAATTTTATTTAATTTTGAAAAAAAGAAGATTCTGCCCAGTTTCCTAACTGAGATCAGGAGTGAATCTCAGATCCTTGCTAAGAATACCTTCCCTGTCTCCATATCTGAGTCCATACGAGTATGATTTATTATTTCTCATAATGACTTTACTGAACATAATGCACATTCCATACAACGCAGCATTTTAAAGCGTACAGTTCAGTATATATTCAGCAGGCTGTGCAGCCAGCCAGGATGTTGTCACAGCCCTATGGAGACACCGCGCTCCTGTTTGTGGGCGTGCTCCATGTCTTCTCCCTCCTCCCCAAACCCCAGACAACACTCATCTTTCTGTCTGTATGAATTTTTATACTGTGGACATTTCATATAAATAGTAGTTGTAGTCAAGTCTAAGTTGTGTCCGACTCTTGCGAACCCTTGGACTGTAGCCTGCCAGGCTCTTCTGTCCATGGGATTCTCCAGGCAAGAATACTGGAGTGGGTTGCCATTTCCTTCTCCGGAGGATCCTCCCGACCCAGGAATCGAACCCGGGTCTCCTGCATTGCAGGCAGATTCTTTTCCGACTGAGCTATGAGCTATTCATATTCTAACTGAGCTATTCATATAAATGGGGCCATATAACATGTGGCCTTTTGTGTCTGTCCAATGCAGGACACAAAATGTGAAGGGCTCATTTCCCGTTAATACCTCAAGGTTCATCCATGCTGTAGTCTGTCTCCAGCACCTTGTTACTTTTTATGGCTGAATACTATTTCACTGCATGTACAATACCGCCTTCCTTTTACCTATTCATCTGTGTCGCTGATGGTCATTATGGGTTGTTTCCACCTTTTTAGATACTATCAATAATGCTGTGATGAATATTCACGTAGAAGTTTTTCTGTGCACACATGTTTTCGTTTATCTTGGTTATATTCTTAGGAGTTGGAGTTGTTGAGTCACGTGGTAAGTCTATGTTTAACCTTTTGAGGAGCTGCCAGACTGTTCTCCAAAGCAGCTGCACCATCAAACGTTCTCACCAGCAGCACGTGAGGGTTCCGGTTTTTCCGTGTCCTCATCAACTTGTCACTAGTCACCTTTTGGATGACAGCCTTCCTCGCGGGTGTGAAGTGATGTCCTGTGATTTTGATTTGCATGTCCCTGGTGGCCGAGGATTATTTTTATAAGCGTTTTTATTGAAGTAGAGCATACATCATACGGCCCTTTAAGTGGCTCGCTATAGCGATGTATTCTTTACAGGAAATGATCTGGACGTTTAGAGAGACTGTGCCGAGGGTCTGTGGAGATGGTGCCCCAGCGCTGTCGGGTGGGAGGCAGTGGGGACCTTGGGAGACAGAGGGAAGCGGCTGGGATGATTCTGGTCGTTGTGATCCTGGCTCATTTCTACTCCTGGTCTTGGCTGCTGTTGAGCTAGGGGATGCAGCTGTAGACAGGTGTGTGAGTTTAGCTTGGTGATGCAGCGATAGACAGATGTGTGAGTTTACCTAGGTGATGCAGCCGTAGACAGATGTGTGAGTTTAACTAGGTGATGCAGCCACAGACAGACAGATGTGTGACTCGTGGAGGGTGAGAAACAGGTCTGTGAGGGAGAGATGAATGCCAGGTTGGAGTCGCACTGCAGGTCCCATGATCCCTACCCAGTCTCCTTCCAGCTGGTCCACAAACGTGTTAATCCCACTCTCCAGTCCATTCAGGGCAGCCTAAATAGGAAGGTGACGGTGGGTAAACTTCTCCAGATGGGATGAGGTGCTGGCTGGGGCTGAAGGGAAACTTGGGTTCTTGGTCCAGTTGCTTTCTAACCCTGGAGCCTCAGCAGTGGGAGATGCCCTGCTCCTGGTGCGGGCCAGGGCAGCAGCGGGGGAGCCTCACCTGTCCCCTTGTCTGTCTGCCCCTGTCTGCAGGGAGCCGGGAGACGGCCTTCACCTATGCTGTGAGCGCGGCCGGGGTGGTGAATGCCATCAGCCGCGCCTGCCGTGAGGGCGAGCTGTCCACCTGCGGCTGCAGCCGGGCTGCGCGGCCCAAGGACCTGCCCCGGGACTGGCTGTGGGGCGGCTGCGGCGACAACGTGGACTACGGCTACCGCTTCGCCAAGGAGTTTGTGGACGCCCGCGAGCGGGAGAAGAACTTCGCCAAGGGCTCAGAGGAGCAGGGCCGCGTGCTCATGAACCTACAGAATAACGAGGCGGGCCGGAGGGTAAGCGATCCCACCCCCCCCACGTACCTGGAGGGTGGGCTCTGCCCGCCCCGTGCACCTCAGCGGCTTGCTGGCCACTGGGACATAGGCAGTGATCATGTAATCCCCCTCCCCACACGTACCCAAACTGTAGACTCCCCCACCCCCATACACACCCAGACGGAGGACCCTACCTGCCCCCCACACACCTACAACATTGGCTGTTCCTGGGCTGTGCTGCCTGCTGCCGGCTGGTCCAGGAAGAGATGAGTCTGACCACAGAGATTCTTACCTGTGTGTGTGCTTTCACCTGAGTGGAAGTGCAGAAGGTGACCTTTGAAGGCCCAGGCTCATCAATCTCATATAAGATGTAAGGGCTTCCGAGCCTCAATTTCAGTGGAAAGTAATACATAGGTTTCGGGGAGCTGGCTTTATCGTATGTGCGAGTGCCCCTGGGTGCTAGGCTTCCTGAATGGCTGCTGGAGAGCTCTGTGCCCATCTGTACCTGCTCAGGGAGCCCCCAGGCTCCAAGCACACGGCCTGCTCCTCTTTGCCGGGCAGGGTCTGCTCTGCCAGGGGCTGGAGGGCTTGCTCAGCTGGAAGCTCTGTCTTTTGGTGGTCAGGTGTCCACTGTGCATCCAGGTCCCCCTGGAGAGAGGTGTGAGGCCCCTGTACTGGGTGGCGGGAGATCCTTCTGGTCCCCGACCTCTCAGGAAAGCACACAGACCTCTCTCCGGGAGAGCTGTCCACACCCAGGTCCATGTCAAGCCCAGCAAGGTACTTCCCGAGACCAAAGATGAGCCAGTGAGAAAACAGGAGCAGAAGTTTCTGAAGGAGAAATAAATTCAGAAATTTAATGTTGGTTCATTGGTGACTCAGTAATAGGATATGGATATACTTCTTAAAAAGTGTTTCTGTATTAAATTTTTTTTTTAAAAGTTAACTCATGTTTCACAGGAGCACATGTCAAACAGGGACTGGAATCGCCTCTCATATGACTTGGGGTCCCTGGTGTTGGTATGATGCAGTACCCGTGTGTACACTTAGCACGGTCACTATCTGACATCAGGTCAGGATTAGACTTGGTCATTGCCCAGCATCATCTCTGCAGAGTCCATGTTCAGAGGCCAGTGTTGTTTAGCCAGGTGTGGGTGTCCATCTGTGGTGAGTCTGGAGTTCAGGCCATGGCTCTGATCTGTGAAGCTGGGCTTAGAGACCAGTGCTGTTCTGCTCCACCCGTCATTGGTGAACCTTCTTCCATCTCTTCCACCTCCTCTCTGCCAGTCTTTGGGCATCTAACCTGGTTGATAAAAAGAAACAAACAAACAAAAATGTTCAGTCTTCACTTTGTTTCCTAAATGCCCAAATTCTACCCATTTTTCAAGATCCCAGTAAATACCACCTGCAAGTGTTGTGTTAGTTGCTCAGTCATATCTGATTCTTTGCGACCCCGGGGGCTATAGCCCACCAGGCTCCTCTGTCCATGGGATTGATTCTCCAGGCAAGAATACTGGAGTGGGTTGCTAATCCCTTCTCTAGGGGAACTTCCTGACCCAGGGATCGAACCCTGGTCTCCTGCATTGCAAATAGATTCTTTACTGTCTGAGGCACCAGGGAAGCCCAGATGCTTCCCACCATCTTTGCATCCTCTGTGGTCCGTGGTATTTGTGTCTGGAGGGCGGTCGAGCCTTTCAGATGTGCTTCCTGTTCCTTGCCTTCTCAGCTGCAGCTCCTGAGGACCGGGGGGCCCTGGGCCCTCTGCTGTGCTCTTTAGTGGGTGGGCACATGTGACAGCGCAGAGGAAACTCCCCTGGGCCTCCTAGCAAGAGGTCACAGGAAGGAAGGTTTTCCTTCTGTGACTCTGTTGCAGAGGCAGAGGGGACCAGGCATCTACCCTCATCCGGCCTTGTCAGTCGCATCTTGACCCCACTTCTGCTGGCTCCTCATTTCATTACCCTTAATTGTTTGTTTGCTTTTTCCAGCCCTTATCTCTGCTTCGCCCTCCATCTGCGCTTCCCACACCCTCCCCGGCTTCCTCCGTCTGCTCCCCGTCTTTGGTCCCCCGTCCTGTAGGCTCCATACCTCTTCACAGCCCTTTATCTCTCCCCCGGCTCCATCTGCTCCAGGTGGGGACCTTCTGTCTCTCCTGCGTTCTCATCCCACCTCCAAGGAGCAGGCCTTCTCCATCAATCACCTCCCACTTCCTCACACCTACACAGAACCTTCCTCGGGAAGGACTGAGCACTGGCAGGGATGGGAAAGTCCCCGGACTGCTATTTTACAACTGGATTTTTTTTTTCAAGTAGGTTATCTAAGCTCTGACATCTTGATGCAGAGTAAACCTCGGGGACACTTAGCGATAAATTTCTCTTGCCTTTGAGAGCCGCCAGTGACCCCATTTTACATACTCAAGGCCAGAGCAGTGGGTTGATACTGCCTTGTCACTGCAGGGCCTCTGAGCATTTTCTAGATGAAAACTGCCGTATCCTCGTGACGTCCTGCCAGTGACCGAGCTCGGCCACACTGTTACGTGTGGAAGAGGGGGAGGGGGCTCTTCTGGGGGCAAGATAGAGAGCGAAGAAAAACTTTCACACATGCTATTGCTTTTTCAGTTACCAGCAAGGCCAAAATCCCCTCCTCCTTCTCTTGCAAGAGGCGCGTCTATATATGAGCAATGGTGAAATATCTAAAATACAGGCATTACTGTCTCTGTGATGTCTTTCTTCCTACAGGAATGAGAATGAACGTTGAATAGCGAGGCTCAGTGGTACTCTCCCTTCCGGATTTGTTTTACTGAAATTCCTGTCCCTTCCCCAGAGCCTCCCCAGCTCTCTTTCCCCAAATCCCCGAGTGTTTGCTCCCCGCGGAGATAGATGCTATCCGGCCTCCTCCCCCAGTCACTTAGGGAAGGTACACAGCTTTAGGCTCTTAATGCTTCCTCCTTCTCCTAACAGTGCTGGGTGCTGGAAGTCCCTCTCCAAACCGAGGACCATTTCCAGGGAGTGTCGGGCTCCAGCTCAGACCCCGGGGGATCAGAGCCAGAGGGTGACTGCAGGTGCTGTCTTTGAAGTGCGTGTAGGAATGGGGGGTCACTTCTGCCTTCAAGCCGCCAGCCAAGTGCTCCGGGAGGGGCCTGCTCACCTTCTCCATCCTAAACCCTTTTTAAGCCCCAAGCTTGGGGTGTACTCCCTCCTGGGTGGTCCTCAGTGTCTCCACCCTAAGACAGTGGGGGTAGTCCCACACCAGAAAAAAATCGGGAGGAGTCCTGGCAGTCGTAATACAAGCTGATGGTGTGGAAGCTCTTGCTTGCACCTGCAGTGGTCCCTGCTGAATAAAGACACAATCCGGGGACCCTTGAAAAGAAAGCTGAGAGGAGCCCTTGACAAATGAGTCCTGCCTGCGTCGGTGACAATAGCCGTGGCAGAAGAAAATGTTGGGCGGCGGACCTGCATCTTTATCCCACCATCTGCACTTCTGGGACGGCTGCCAGGGCCGCTGGACACAATGCGTCCGTATGCTTTCGCTGAAAAGCACTTTGTGAGCAGCTTTCTGGTCCGCTCCTGCTTTTCCATTTGGGTCTGGGGTAGCCCACGTTCAGTCCTCTCCCACTGCTGTGGTTCAGTGACTTCTGGGTGGGTTTGTTTTCCCAGCATCGCCCTCCCCCGATCCGTTGTCCTGTGGCAGAGGGCCTGCCCCACCTCCCCTCATCGCAGCCACTCCCAGGGGGGCGTCTTGTCACAAGTGTGCTGCGGTTTATGGGGAGGCGCCCGACGGCTCTGCAGAGCTAATGACCCACTTAACCCAGAAAAGGGGAACGTTTAATTCCTGGGGGACTTGGCAGGACCGGGGAGAGCTTGTGGCCAGACAGGGTTTCTGTTGTAGGCTCCTGGTACAGCTGATTCTTTTTTTCTGTCTTGGACTCTGTATTACGTAGAAGCTGGACTCATTTTGTTGGTTTTTATTTGTTTGAGACATTGATCAAGATAGAAATTACCTTTTTTCTTCCCCTGCTGGTAACAATGACACATTTCAAGTAATAACAACTGGATAACACAGAAAGGAGCTTCCCTGGTGGCACCCCCTGCCAGTGTAGGAGATGCGGGTTCGATCCCTGGGTTGGGGAGATCCCTTGGAGGAGAAAATGGCAGCCCGCTCCAGTATTCTTGCCTGGGAAACCCCATGGACAGAGGAGCCTGGCGGGCTGCAGTCCATGGGGTCAGACATGGGGTCAGTGACCAAACAACAACAAAGTAGAAAGGGTGAGTGCTGTTCTGGAAGCGCCTCAGACGTGGGCATCACCTCCCCGCGCTTTTCTATGTGCTGCTCCTTTCCCGTGCTTTCAGTTTGGAGAGACCTTTGGAAGCGGCTGGAGAACCTGCGCCTCTGCACACACCCACCCCTCCAGCCCCCACCTGGACTCGGCCTGTGGTGACCCCAGCCAGCCTCTGGGACATCTCTTGTTGGTACATTCTTCTCATCCTTTCCTCTCTCCCCTCCTCAGGCTGTGTACAAGACGGCAGACGTGGCCTGCAAATGCCACGGCGTCTCGGGGTCCTGCAGCCTCAAGACCTGCTGGCTGCAGCTGGCAGAGTTCCGCAAGGTGGGGGACCAGCTGAAGGAGAAGTATGACAGCGCGGCCGCCATGCGTATCACCCGCCGCGGCAAGCTGGAGCTGGTCAACAGCCGCTTCAAGCCACCCACCCCCGAGGACCTGGTGTACGTGGACCCCAGCCCGGACTACTGCCTGCGGGACGAGAGCACAGGCTCGCTGGGCACGCGGGGCCGCCTGTGCAACAAGACGTCCGAGGGCCTGGACGGCTGCGCGCTCATGTGCTGCGGCCGCGGCTACGACCAGTTCAAGAGCGTGCGGACCGAGCGCTGCCACTGCAAGTTCCACTGGTGCTGCTTTGTCCGCTGCAAGAAGTGCACGCAGGTCGTGGACCAGTTCGTCTGCAAGTAGCCGGGGCCGCCGCCCGCTCCTCCGAGCCGGGCCCGGAAGTCTATGGGATATAGATCTATATAAATATATTTTATATTTGTATAAAGGAAAGGCTGGATGGTAAATAATTAAAAGAAGACAACAGAAAGGAGAAGCTTATTTAAGAGACGCTGGAGATCTTTGAGGATTGGGGGCTCTCTGCTTCCAGTGGGTGGGACGCGGGCTTTGTCTCCTGCCCTGGCTGGGCCTCTCTAGAGGTGGGGACTTGGGAATGTCCATGGCCTACCCGACGAGGCCTTGAGGACAAAGAGAGTGCTTGGAGGGAGAAGTGGATGGCATCTGGATTCCTTGTTGGGTGGGTGATGGCCCTGTGACCCTGGTTGCCAAGCCAGGCGGCCCCTTGGATGGTGGTGGGAACTCAACTTCACCCCTGGCATCTTCTGGGTCTCCAGCAGAATACCGACCGCTTCCATGAGAGGCCCAGCGCCTTCTCACGTATTCGTCTGTGTGTGCTTGCAGAATCCACAGTTTCAGGAAAGAGGACAGGCCCCTTTGTCACCTCTGATGGCGGGCCAGCTCCTCCCCTGACTCCGGGGCCCATCTTTCCAGCGATAGATTTTCTCACTCCAGGCTTCGCAGACTCCCACCTTGGCTCCCACAGCATCTGTGCCCAAGCTGCAGAAAGCCAGGTGGTGCCCAGTCAGGTGGTCGCACTGGGCTTCCGCACTACCGGGAGCGGACACTCTGATACTCCATTGGCCCTCCTTGTCCAGGGAGGCCTGGGGCAGCCCGGGGCCAGCTCCTGGCATGGGCTCGGCTTCGCCCCGGATATAGTTCCCTCCAACATTAAACACCCTCCACTGAAGCTTCTATCTCTTTCCTTATTTGGACACGTGGCTCCTTTTTAGTTTTGATCCGGTCCTCGGAAACCTGCTGCATGGTACACTCACACATAAGAGGGTGAGGGGATGGGGATCATTCAGAGCCCTAGTCTGGGTGAGAGGGAGGGGGGAATGTCATGAGAATTAATAAGGTAACGCATGTATGCCTGCCCCCCAAAGGCAACTCAGGGATCAACCATGGCTGTTAACTCTGCTGTTCTGAACAGAACTCAGATTGGAGGTTAAACCTCACTTTTGGCCCCTCTTCCCCATTTTATCTCCCATCCGTCCTCCTGGGCTCTTAGATTTGCACAGGCGATGGGGGATGCTCTCTGCTGGCTTCTCCGTGTCACCATGTCCGGTCCAGGGGCCAGAACTCCAGCTTTGGAGTATCTGCTTGTTGTTTTTGTTCAGTCGCTCAGTCATGTCCAACTCTCTACAACCCACAAAAACTGCGGCATGCCAGGCTTCCCTGTCCTTCACTGTCTCCATGAGTTTGATCAAACTCATGTCAGTTGAGTTGATGACGCCATCCTCTGTCGCCCCCTTCTCCTGCCCTCAGTCTTTCCCAGCATCAAGGTCTTTTCCAGTAAGTCAGCTCTTTGCCTCAGGTGGCCACAATATTGGAGCTTCAGCTTTAATATTAGTCCTTCCAATGAATAGTCAGGGTTGATTTCCTTTAGGATTGATTGGTTTGATCTCCTTGCAGTCCAAGGGACTCTCAAGAGTCTTCTCCAGCACCACAGTTCAAAAGCATCAGATTTTTGGCACTCAGCCTTCTTTATGGTCCAACTCTCACATCCATACAGACTACTGGAAAATCCATAGCTTTCATCCATATATGACTACTGGAAAAGCCATAGCTTTGACTATACACCTTTGTCGGCAAAGTAATGTCTCTGTTTTTTAATATGTTGCCTAGACTTGTCATAGCTTTTCTTCTAAGGAGCAAGTATCTGGGACTGGGGAGGATAAGGCAGAGCTCAGGGACTCTAGAAAGGGAGGGTTTCTGGGAAAGATGTTGAACCACTAGCCACTCAAGACACCGGTTTCATGTTAGAAATGTTTGTTTCTAGGGAAGGGATGAGGTTGCAGAATTAACTTGGTCATAAAGAGCAAATGACACTGTAGGTTCTGCCTAAGGGCATATGTGGTCCCGTCTCCTGCTGTGTCTTCAGTACCTAGAGAAGAACCTCCCTTCTTGACACCAAGGAACATCCAGCTGTGTTACCCGTCACAGCTCCTCACACGGTCACTCAGATTCCTTTGGCAGACATTTTAAGAGGAATGGTCCATGAGAGAAAATGTTTAAACCAACCGGCCTACAAAAGATTAAAACCATGTCCTTGGCTTCAGTCTGTGTGGTTTGTTCTCTCAAAGCTGCAAGTGACAGAGACTAATGTGAGCCAGCTTAAAAAGAGGAAGGCAACATCGGGGTTCAGAGGGATCCCGCCTGCTCCAGACGCTCAGGACCTACCGGACTGGGCTTCCCTTCGTCTGTGTCCGGCCCCTCGTGGTGGGGACCCACAGGGTCCGAACTCACAGCCACTGGAAGTCACTCTGACTCCCTCCCTGGTCCTTGAGCCAAGCTCCTGGGAGGACCCCTGGCCGGTGCGGGCCGGTGCCTTCCTCTTCCCCAGGACCTCACAGCGGGGGGTTCAGAGTTCACGGAGGTGAGAGGGGCTTCTTTGCTGGTGTTTGGATGGGAGGACACACACTCCAGCTCATTGTCCCATGCGGACCCCTGGCTGTTTACTCTGGACTTGCTCGAGCAAAGTCGTGTAATTGTGGGGCCGGTGCTGAGACTTTCCTCGAAGGAGTGAAAACCTGAGCCCTGGCTAAGTGTGAGGGGGGCTCCTGCTCCCTCAAAACCTTCAGGGGTGAGGTGAAGCCATTCTCTGTCTCACAGGGTTGAGGGGGTAAAACTGCTAAGAGGTGTCCCCAGACTGGACACTGTCTAGGTGTCCCCAGATGTTGACAAACCTGCTGCCATTCCATTCCAGAGTGTAGTACTGTTTTACTCTGAGCTCGATTTGAAGGGTCAGGAGTTCCTGCTAATGATTTAAATATACTTCCCTTTGGGACATCCCTGGCAGTCCAATGATTAGGGATGGGTCCTCCCACTGCAGGGGGTTTGGGTTCTATCCCTGGTTGGGGATCAGGTCCTGCATGCTGCATGGCCAAAACCAAATTGTAAAGATACGTCCCTCTGAGAAAGAAGAAAAAGGTTTTTTTAAACAATTAAACAAAGCAACAACAACAACAACAAAATAAAGATATTGCCCTTTGAGGTAATGACTACAGAGCCAGCTGCTTCCTTTGCACCCCCCTGGCCAGCAGGGCCTGAGTCCTCACCAAGAAGAAATGTCCAGGAGGGACGAGGGCGGCCAGATGTTCCTGTAAATCTCCCAGGACCCTTGGGGGCAGAGATGGCAAACGTGGAGACTTCACAAGTGCCCTGCGGCCGCCTGCTTGTGTCCTGATTGGAGAGCACGCATGGTCCTGCTTTCCCGTCTTGGGTTGTGGACGAGAAGAGCGTTTGTGGACGAGGACATGAGTCCACTCGCACATGTAAGGGGCTGTGTTCCTTCCTCTGTGGGGACCTGACCTCCATCTCCCTGAGCCACGGCCAGGTCCCCAGCGCCGGCTCCTCGCCTGGCTGCCCTCCCGTCTGGCCACACGGTGTCGCTGTTTCACCAGCTCCAGCCCAGTGTCCGCCGCTCACACTTCAGTTCAAAAGCTGGACATGGGGTCCTTGTGCCAGAAAACAGACTCCCGGCAGAAGCACAGCTGAGTTTTAGATGTTTCATTTGAACACATTTGGAAAGAATTAGGTCAGTGTAATTTTACTGATTTTTTTTTCCCACACTGTGAGACCTCTAGCAGGCCGATGCCCTTCACACATTAAACCCAGCTCTTCTGCAAACAGCTGTCTGTTCCTGGGTTGGGAAGATCCCCTGGAGCAGGACATGGCAACCCACTCCAGATTATTGCCTGGAGAATCCCATGGACAGAGGAGACTGGCGGAGTACAGTCCACAGGGTCACAAAGAGTCAAACATGACTGAGTGACTGAACCCTCGGCACACAATTCCCCAACCAGGGATCAAGCCCAGCCCCTCGGCAGTGAGAGCTCAGAGTCCCAACCACTGGACCGCCAGGAAACTCCCACATTTTACTAATTTGTTAAAAATTGAGCGTGGAAGGAAGATGAGGGGAATGCCCGGCCCGGCTGGGATGGGCCACCGAGACATGGGTGAGGACAGTGGTTCTCGGGCTCGGAAGTGGCTTGGGTCAGCCTCTGAGCCGGCAGCCAGATGGTCATCATCCCAGAGGTGGGGAGTCACTGTAGTTTCCACAGAGGACTGACTGTACCAGCTGCTTTGCATACATCATCTAGAATTCCCTCGGTACCTCTGCGAGTTTGGTGTTATTATCCACAAGTTCCAGATGGGAGGAAAGACTCAGAGAAGCCAAGCAACACCCTCTGACTCACACAGCTACTAGCTGGTGCTGACTGACTCCAGGGGCCCTTCTGTCTCCTTGGTGGGTCTCTGAATGATGCCAGGATGTGAAGTAAGAAGGGCCCGTTTCCTTCTGAGCCTCAGATGTGCCCACTGATCTGCCACTCTGGCTGACTGAATTTAGGATGAGGAGGGCAAGCGGGGAAATTTCCTCTGATGGAGGCACAAGGCTGTCCTCCATCTAAGGTAAGAGGACCAGCTGTGCAGGGCTGCGGGTTCAGAGAATCTGCCTTGCACATAAGGCAGACAGCTGTTTGCAGAAGAGCTGGGTTTAATGTGTGAAGGGCATCGGCCTGCTAGAAGTCAGTGTCTAGGCACTCAAAACTGACTCTGCGTGAGCGGACAGTGGGCCTTCCTGATAGCATCTCCCCAGGTGGCACTAGTGGTAAAGAACACACCTGCCAATGCAGGAGACATAAGAGACACAGGTTTGATCCCCAGGTCAGGAATATACCCCGGAGAAGGAAATGGCAACCCACTCCAGTATTCTTGCCTGGGAAATCCCCTGGACAGAGGAGTCTGGTGGACCACAGTCCATGGGGTTGCAAAGAGTCAGGCACAGCGGAGCTCATACACACAAGAAATTAAAATCAGTACAGTCTGTCCCCAAAGCCACCTCCTTTGTAAGATGTGTGAACATATAATAACTTCCTAGACTTGTTTCTAATCTCTGCTGTGGTCAGTTGGACTACTTTGGATGACCAGATAAGGAGTGCATTTCTTGGAGGCAGACCTGAGCCTTGAGCTTGGCTTCATCATTGGCCTATCTAGCTTTGGAGGAACGCAGAAGACACAGCGTGCACCAAAGGGGCGCTCAGACGGTCCCAGGCCAGGGGACAGCAGCCCGAGAGGAGACTCTGCTGATGCCAGTGCCCACACAGGTCTGGGCAAGGCAGAGCTGGCCACTGCGTGCCCTCCGCCCACCCTGGCCAGGGACCCGTCAGCAGAGGCCACCAGCCAGCACATGGACTTCGAGTTCTACGGAGAGTCCCTGCGGTCCCCTCTGCTTCTGCCTCCATCAGTCCTGAGTCTGGCCACAAATTGAGGGCTCTCCCAGATAAAAATTCTGTTAAGCTACAAGTCAGCGTGACCCTGTAAGACAGGGACTTGCTCCTTAACCCCAGAGTCAGACCCCAGCATTTCTGTCTCTGCTTTCAGCGTGTGCGGGCGCTCTGGATGCAGCACCAGGCTTCCAGGCTTTGGTTTGTTATCCAGTGCTTCCTGCCGCTCGGGGGCTTTGTGAAGCTCAGCTGCCACAGAAGACAGGCAAGAGCTTTGAACAGTGTGCCCACTCCCACTCTTAGATGTTATTTCAGGTCTGCTATGGACTGACCCAGTGACCCCTGGCTTGTTTTCTGAGCCCTTATTGTGTATTCCCAACAAAGTGATAAAAACAAACAACAACCAAAAAAAAAAAAAAAACCACTCTCTTGGCCAAATAGACTTTTTTTTTTGGTAACAGAAAGAACCAAAGTGAAAATAAAGGATATCTTTCTAAGCAGAAAGAGGCTATCTGTCACCAGGATAGGTAACTGAGAGTTATAGATTTCACTCCCCAGAGAAGTTTAAGGAAATAAGGGGCATTGAGATGTTTGGGGAACTTTAGTAGCGTCTGGAGACAGGTCGTAAACCAGATACTCCCTGGAGACTTGTTTCAGCTACAGGACTGTGAGGCCTCCTTCCCTCACGGGAACTAACTACACACATCAGCAAGGGCTCAGGTTTGGTGCAGAGGATGGGCTAAATGATCTCAGGCAGTTCCCTTAACAATAAAACAGGGATCATAATACGTGTTAGTTGCTCAGTCATGGCTGACTCTTCGCAACCCCATGGACTGTGTCCCTTCAGACTTCTCTGTCCATGGGATTCTCCAGGCAAGAATAGTGGAGTGGGTTGCCATTCCCTTCTCCAGGAGATCTTCCCGACCCAGGGATCATACCTGGGTCTCCCCACATTGCAGGTAGATTCTTTACCATCTGAGACACCATAATATATTTCCTTCAGATCAGATAAAGGCTGTGAAAGCTTTTTGTAAAACATTGTCTTATTTTTTTAAATTTTATGATTTTTTAAAATACATGTGTAGAAAGTTCACTGCGGCCTAGTTTGTTTTTTTCTTTATATATTTGGGCTTCACAGTGTGGCATGTGGGATCTTAATTTCCAGATCAGGGATCAAACCCACGCCTGCTGCGGTTGAAGTGCAAAGTCTTAACCACTGGACTCCCAGGGAAGTCCCATAAGGTCTTTTTAAAGACTGAGATATTGGTACATTGAACTTGTATCAAGGCAAGATCAAAGGAAACATGGTTTTAAAAAGCACACAATTATGACACATAAGATCTTTGGAATCATCTCTCAAAGTCGGGGCTTCCCAGGTGACTGAGTGGTAAAGAACCTACCTGCCAATGCAGGAGATTAGGTTTTGATCCCTGGGTCAGAAAGATCCCCAGGAGGAGGAAATGGCAACCCACTCCAGTATGCTTGCCTGGAGAAGCCCATGGACAGAGGAGCCTGGTGGGCCACAGTCCAGGGTTTGAAAAGAGTCAGACATGACTGAACATGCATGCACGTACTTGATCAGAGCCAATTGCAAATGCAAGGAATCTAACTTGGATTTGTTTGGCCTTTCGTACACTGAGGAATTCACTGTTCTTCTCTAGGTTGACTTTGGTCTTTCTTGAGAAGGGGACGGCTGTGTTCCTCTAAAAGAAGGCATTTAAAAAATATATTAAAAAAATTTTTTTTGGCTGCAGTGTGTGGCAAGTGGGATCCTAGTTCCTCCTCCAGGGATCAAACCTGAATCCTCTGCATTGGAAGGTGAAATCTTAACCACTGGACCTCAGGAAAATTGGGAAACCACTTTTTAAGTCTCTTTTCTGCTGTTTCTAGACCTTGGGGAACTTCAAAAGGGGAAAGACACCTTGCACAGAAGCGGCAGGGAAGCAGGCCCAACCCTGGCCTCTGGAAGATGTGGCCAAGGAGCCAGGCCCTTACTACACCCTCCACGGGGTCTGGCCACCCACCTGGAGCCCCATCTCCTCACTGCCTGCACCCCAGGCCACGCAGCCACTTGGAGGGCCCAGACCTGGGACTGCTCCGCAGTCACAGAGGATACAAGTTGAGAAGCAGGTCTTTACTCAGGGTGGGGCTTCTGCTACCATCATCCCTGACCTTGATTTCGGTGAGGCAGGCAGTTGTCTAGAGCTGCCCTGAGCAGCCAGGCTCACACATTCCATTGTTTATCTGGGGAAATGCCTTATAACTCTAAACAATTGACTTACCAACTCCCCGAGAACAATGCCCATTCATCAGACGGGGACATTCTGTTCCCTGGGAGAGGCAGTGGGCGGGGTGTCACCCTGCAAGTCAGCAGACACCGTGCAAGCGTCCCAGCACTTGCTCAGAACAGGAGCACGCAGGGCGGGCTGGTCCGAACCTGCCCTGGCCCCGACACATCCTGCCCGCATGCACCTGCTCTTCTTTCTAAGCTGAAGAATACTGGGTGCCTGTGTCCTCTGCTGAGGTCACATCTACGCCTTCAGATACCATCTAGGACAGAAACATTGAGAACAAACTTCACACCCGGCGCCGGGTAGGGACTTCTTACTGTGTCTGCTCATCTCTGAACAGAACAGGGGACGTGAAATTGTTTAGAAATCAGAACAGGAGGTTTTTGTTTGGGGTTTTTGTTTTGTCTTGGTTTTGCATTGCCTGTAGAGAAGTGCTTTATTTATTTTTTCTTTCAGTTTTATTTATTTTTTATTTGAAATGTAATTGACACACTGAGTTTTAGGGGAACAGCACCTGACTTACACATATTCTGAGATGATGACCACGATGAGTTTAGTGCAAATCCATCACCTCAAGATTCCGTGGGGATCCAGTGGTTAGAATGTCACAATCCACTGCTGGTGCTCAGGTTTGATCCCTGGTTGGGGAACAAAGATCCCACAAGCTGAGCAGTGCAGCAAAAAAAAAAAAAAAAGAATCCATCACCTTCGAGAGACTTTAAAAAGAAAATCCTTTCTCCTTGTGAAGAGGACATTTAGGACCTACCTTCTCAGCAGTCTCTAGACATTCCATACAACAGTGTTTACCACAGTCTGAAGGCTGGACATGAGCTCTTGGGACTAGTAGAATTCTAAGCAGAGGTAGAAAGAGTTTCGTGGGGCTGAAAGCTTATGCAGTCAGAGCGGCAGGTGGCAGGGGAGGGGGTGGGGGGCACGGCAATTTTTAAAAATTACAAATGACATACAAGGCCTTATAATGCAAGAAAGAGACCATGAAGCCTAAGATTCATTCACTTACAGAAAACCCAACTTTGGAAAACTAAGGAAAGCACCCAGAAGATTCCATGGAAACACAGTCTTACACAGCTGTGAATGGCTTTTCCCAAAGCATTCTCGGGCTTTCTGGGTGGCTCACATGGTAAAGAGGCCACCTGCAATGCAGGAGACATGGGTTCAACCCCTGGGTCAGGAAGATCCCCTGCAGAAGGGAAAGGCTGCCCACTCTAGTATTCTGGCCTGGAGAATTCAACAAACAGAAAACATTCTCACTCCTTCTTGCCTTGATGGAAATCTGCATTTTTCCTGACAAAGCCATTTAGGTTAGAGCTCTCTGGGGTAAAGGCCCTCTTTTCTCCCAGCCCCCAGGTATGGCCGTCTGGCCTGGTGGGGGGAGTTGCCACACCCCATGGTTTAACCCCACGGTCAAAGGCCTGGCTCGGTAGTGGCTCCAGCCAGACCGTCCCCTCCCCCATTTTGGTTGTTGTCCTCCAGCCATCTCGGAGGAGTGGTGGTCAAACTCATGAAGAGGTGATTAACCTCATTTATAGCAAATGAAATGTTAGGTCAAACTAAATAGGAGATATAATTTTTTCACCTAATAGATGAGTTTGTTGTTATTGTTTAGTTGCTTGCTGCTAAGTCACATCAGTCGTGTGCAACTCTGTGTGACCCCATAGACGGCAGCCCACCAGGCTCCCCCGTCCCTGGGATTCTCCAGGCAAGAATACTGGAGTGGGTTGCCATTTCCTTCTCCAATGCATGAAAGTGAAAAGTGAAAGTGAAGTCGCTCAGTCGTGTCCGACTCTTAGCGACCCCATGGACTGCAGCTTAGTTGCAGGCTCCTCTTAGTTGCTTAGTTGTGTCCAACTCTTTTGTGACCCCACCAGGCTTCTCTATCCATAGGATTCTCCAGGCAAAAATACTGGGGCAGGTTGCCATGTCCCTCTCCAGGGGATCTTCCCAACCCAGGGATTGAATTCGTGTCTCTGGCATTGGCAGTTGGATTCTTTACCACTGAACCCCCTGGGAAATCCTTAATAGATGAGTAAAGATGAGCAGATTTGATGTGCTGCTGTATGGGAAAGGAAGGGAAGAAACAGGTACTCCATGCATTGCTACTGGGAGTAAAAGGCAGCGACACTTCCTCAGGACAATCTATCAAAATGTAAAAGGGACATACCCCGGGACTTCCATGGTGCACAGTGCTGAAGACTCCATGCTTCCAATGAAGAGGGCTACAGGTTCAGTTCCCGGATGGGAAACAAAGATCCTACATGTGCTAGGGCTGCCAAAAATAAATTTATATAAATTAAAATTTTAAAAGTAAGTTAAAAAGAAGATGTTCATATGCTTTGATCCAGTGGCCACACTTTTACAGTTAATCCTATTCATATGTTCACATGTGTGTACAAAGATGTATGTGCAAGAAGTTTCCTGTGGCATTATTTGGGGAGTAAAAATCTGAAAGAACCTAAGTGCCTGTCAGTGGGAATGGGTATTAAACATGGTTATTATGTGAACTGGAAAATCACACAAAATGACACTATGTGTTGTTCACAGCCATATGTAAATTTGCTGTGAAAACATACAAAATTACTGAAAGAAATAAATAAGTGACAGTGCTCAGCTCTGGGGTAAGGAGCTGGGAAGAGGATTGTCTGTGAAGGTTACAGAATATTTCAATTTTATCTGTAACATTTTACTTCTTTTATATAGGGGAAAAAAGGAAACAGCAAAGATGAGTTTTTATCAGCGCTGGGTGGTGGGAGCTTTTCATATTACACTCTGACTTTTATGTATTTTTTTCAAAGAGCACAATTCAGAGCACTGGGCATGAGGTGAAATCTTTCGTGTAAAAAGACACCTACATGCTTGTTACCTGTGAACGTCTCTGGACAGACAACGGCTGGGAGGGGACCAGGACGTGGGCTCAGGGTGGGGAGAGGCTTATTTTCACCTCATGCTGTTACCGTGTGTATATTTAACCATTTGAACATACTACTTAAAAAATAATAATTACAAAGAGCAAGCAAACAGACAGCATGTTTTAAGAGTCTGTTGTACTTGGAGAGGAAGGTGAGCAGAGGCCTTCCCTCCTCTGGTTCCTGATGGGGGAAGACAGCACACACCCTCCATCCTCATAGCCACAGCTCGGGCCCTCTGAGAGCTGTGTGTGCTAAGTCACTTCAGTTGTGTCCAACTCTTTTCGACCCTACGGACTATAACCTGCAAGGCTCCTCTGTCCTTGGGATTCTCCAGGCAAGAAGAATACTGGAGTGGATTGCCTTGCCATCCTCCAGGGTTTCTTCCTGACCCGGGCATGGAACCCAAATCTTTTATGCCTCCTGCATTAGCAGATGGGTTCTTCACCACTAGTACCACCTGGGAAGCCCTTAGCAGTGAGAGCCATGAGCAGCTGGTTTTTTGTTTTCTTTTATTTTTTTGGCCACACCGCAAGGCAGATGGGGTCTCAGTTCCCCAACCAGGGATAGAACCCGTGCCCCCTGCGATGGAAGCACAGAGTCCTAACCACTAGACCACCAGGAAATCCCCAGGAGTAGCTGTTAACACTCTAATCATGAGGTGGACAGGCAGGAAAAAACACTGGAAGATGTCCACCCTGGCAAAGGTATTTAAGTATACCTTAGGGTGGTGAGAGGGAAGCCCCTGGGCCAAGCAAGCTTAGCTGGTTGTCTGTTTTCAGTGTCAGAGTCCCCAGCAGGAAAACAAAAGAGTGAGCTGTGAATCGAACAACAAACACAGAGGAGCCCTGCAGCGACTGTGCTGAGAAGGCAGTCCCAGAAGTCAGGTCTGAGGGCGTCCACCTCTCCCAGCTCCCCAGAGGAGTCACTTTCACAAAGGCAGAAAGTGGAGGGGGGTCCCGGGGCTGAGGTCGGTGGTTAATGTGGACAGAGTTTCAGTTTCGAGATGATGAAAAGGTTCTGGGGGTGGATGGTGGTGATGGCTGTAAAACCCTTGAGTGTTCCTGATGAAGCCAAGCTATGCACTTATAGATGGTTAAAATGGTAAATGTTATCTCGCGTGCCTGCATGTTCATCCCTCAGTCGTGTTCAACTCTGTGCGACCCCATGGACTGTAGCCTGCCTGACTCTCTGTCCAGGGGATCTTCCAGGCAAGAATACTGGAGTGGGTTGCCATTTCCTTCTCCAGGGGATCTTCTGAACCCAGGGATCGAAACTGCATTTCCTGCATTGCAGGTGGATTCTTTACTACTTAGCCACCAAGAGAAGCCCCAAATGTTATCTTCCTTGAGCAGAATGTTTAAAAAAGCTGCCCATCTGGCTTAACTGACTTTCAAAGGTGCAGGGCATAACCAGTGTGTTGCCTCAAGATCTTTAACCAAACCAGTTGATATTTTTTTCCTATACATTTTCTGACAAGAGTGTGAAATGCAATTTTGACATTCATATATAAATATATACATATACATACACAAATATATGTTACTGTTACACATATGCAACATGACAAACCTAGACAGCATATTAAAAAGCAGGGATATCACTTTGCTGACAAAGGTCTATACAGTCAAAGCTATAGTTTTCCCAGTAGTCATGTACAGATGTGAGAGTTGGGCCAGAAAGAAGGCTGAGTGCCTGAGAATTGACGCTTTCAAACTGTGGTGTTGGAGAAGACTCTTGAGAGTCCCTTGGACTGCAAGGAGATCAAACCAGTCAATCTCAAAGGAAATCAACCCTGAATATTCATTGGAAGGACTGATGCTGAAGCTCCAATCCTTTGACCACTTGATTCGAAGAGCTGACTCACTGGAAAATACCCTGATGTTGGGAAAGATTGAAGGCAGGAGGAGAAGGGGATGACAGAGGATGAGATGACTGGATGGCATCATGGACTCAATGGACATGAGTTAGAGCTCTGTGAAGTGAAGGACAGGGAAGCCTGGCATGCTGCAGTCCATGGGATTGCAGAGTCGGATACAACTGTGTGACTGAACAACAACACAACAACATGTATGTGTAAAACTAATAAAACAACAAAACCGAACTAAAAGCTGCAAAGAAGGCTCCAGTGAGTCTTCAGGGTCCTTCCCACAGGGCGGGAACAACCCACTGTTTTCTGGCCTAGAGAGCAGAATTGCAGCGGAGAGCCCCTTCCCCACAAGTCCCCTGACAGCTGTCTGTGCTCCCAGGCTGGCATCGAGGTAAGAGATAGATGGACCCCTGGGCTGGACACTTGGTGTTCATCAAGTGAAATAAAATCCTAGCTTTGTTCTCACCTAGACACTCCAAGGACAAAGCTAGTGGCAGAAACTGAGCTCAGCTAAAGTACAGAGAAGAAGTGCCCATGCCTGAGGTCAAGGGAGACTTCCGTGTCTGCACATGCACAGGAAGGCTTCTTGGGGGTGGGGAGGGGAGGGGCTCCCATCCCATAATAAGTCTGGACATGCACCCATAGGCCTCTGCGGTGGGATCCATCTTAGAAAACGGTTGCACACGCATCTTGACGAGGGTCCTAGAACCAGTCAGGTATGGAGAAAGAAACAAGTTAATAGGCCACATGTAGGAAAAAACCTGCAAGGACTGCCCTATACAGTGTTGTGTCACCTCTTTGCTGGGCTCCTTATTCAGGATGCCGGTGCGCTCCTGTCTGGGTGTGTGTCTCTGCCTTGCCTCTGACAGAAAAGAATAAACTGTTTCACTGTGTGCTCTCCCATATATGTGCTGTGTCCCTAATTACAAACTTTCTATTTGTTTTACAGTCTTGCCTCCTTGAAACATTCTTAGTTTCAGAAGGGGTAAGAATCAGGGAACTTTGCTTCTAGCCTTTAGCTCCTGGTGGGCTGGTGGCTAGGTTCAAACCCTGGACAGGGAAAAGAAGATCTTGATTCAAGACTACTGTCCCGGGACTTCCCTGGTGGTCCCGTGGCCAAGACACTGCGCTCCCAGTACAGGGGGCCTGAGTTTGGTCCCTGGTCAGGGAACCAGATCCCCACAGGCCTCAACGAAAGATCCCATATGCTACAACAAAGACTCCTGTGTGGCCAAAGAAATAACCAAACATTAACAACAGCAAAAGAAAAGACTACTCTCCCTCGGAGAACAGCATCTCACTGCTCTCTGACCTTTCCACCAGTGCCCACTTGGCTTTCTGTCCAAAGACAGTGTCATAATCCATGTGAGCGAGTCTATCTGCAGCTCCAGGCGTTAGGGTGAGCCCCGACCTTTGGATGTGGAGCAGAAGTAGGGCAGAAGGAGTCTAGGGCAGAGGGAATCGGGGATCTGGAAGACATACCTCGGATGCCTGACGCCAGCCCAGTGTTGGTTTTGTAACTTTTTGTGGCGATGGCCCAATCCAGCTGGTCCCAGTTTTCAGCAGCCTGCTTCACCCTGCTCTTGATTTTGAAATAACCGTCTGAGTGGCAGTGACCTGTCACCCCACATCGCCTCCACCAATGAGAGGGCCCCTTGGGGTGCCCGCAGAAGTCTGTGCTCTGGTCCCCAAGCCTCTTACTCAGTGCCATGGGGTCTGTACGGGTCTGATGGCCAGGAACATCACTGCCATCAGACTCAGACTAGGGAGAAATGGAAACACCCCAGACAGTTGGGAAACAGCTGAAATAACCCTAATCTGGCTGATCTTTGTCCTCAAAGACTTTTCACTTCAACTACAGTTTATTTGGCTGCCAAAGAGGAGTTAGGGAAAATGGATTATAATAATAAGTGGGTTCAATTGAAATTCTTGACACATTTTTGTTTGGGGGTTTTTCTGTATCAAATGATCTCTAATAATTTGTCAGAAACATCCTAAGCTTCTGTTGGGATATTACCCTTTCCCGGACCGAAGAACCCATCAACACAGTTTGTTTCTCCTGGTGTTAGAAGAAGCAGGACTCAGGACTTCATTGCTGTTCCAGCAGTTAAGACTTCGCGTTCCCAATGCAGGGGGCCTGAGTTCTATCCCTGGTCCGAGAACTAGATCCCATGGGCCGCAACTAAGGATCCAGAGTGCTGTAGCTAAGGCCCAGTGAAGCCAAATTAATAAATAAATACATTTTTTTTAAAAAAAAAAAGGAAAGAAAAATGCAGGGTTCACTGTGCAGCCTCGCATTAGCTCTGGGACTTAGGCTAGAGGGGACACCTGGCCTCCTTCACATCTCCCACACTCCAGTCTGACCCTCTTTCTGGAAAAGCATGGAAAGGCAGGTGCTAAAGTCACACACATTTCGGAAGGCTGAGACTCTGAGAATGGAGGAGGACCAGCTCCTGGAAGGGTGAGAGTGAAATGAGACAGAAGGGGTGCAGGCCGCTCCACTGTTTTCCCTGGAGAGCCTGCTGGGGTGCAGAGGCGTCTTCTCCTGGGGGAACCAAAGGTCATCACCTTCTGTTCCTTGGCTTTCGGCTCTGAGTATTGAACCCTGTGTCACTGTGGGCAGCCATCTGCGCGGTCCCACCAGCTGCACCCTTCCCTCATTCATTCTCCTCTGTTCTCATCCTCCCATCCTGACATCAATGGTACACGTCTTACAAAACTAGTCAGTGGAGGAAATCCCAATGATTTAATCATGGATTCACCACATATGTTCTTTTTGGGGGGCTATGCCTCACAGCAGGTGGGATCTTAGTTTTTGGACCCCAGATCAAACCTGTGTCCCTTGCAGTGAATGCACAGAGTCTTAAGCTCTGGACCCCCAGAGAAGTCCCACCATGTATATTCTGACCATAAAGTCTAAAATCACTAGAAGTTTAGACTTCCTTCCATTAATTGAAGAGATAACATAACTTATTTTTTAATTTAATTTTTTCTTTAATATTGGAGTATAGTTGATGTTCAAAGTTGTATTATTTTCAGGTATTCAGGAAAGTTATTCAGTTATGTGTCTGTGTGTGTGTGTATATATATATATGGGAATAGAATAGGTTTTTTTCTATACAGGTTATTGCTGAATGTTGAGTAGAGTTCTCTGTGCTTACCGTAGGTCCTTGCTGGTTATCTATTTTATATACGAGTGTGTATATGTTAATCTCAAACTCCTAATGTATCCCTCTCACTACATGTTTCCCTAAAGAGATGACATAATTTTCATCTCACTTGAAAAGACTTTTGCTGTTGTTCAGTCGCTCAGTCGTGTCGGACTCTTTGCTCAACCCCATGGACTGCAGCACGCCAGGCTTCCCTGTCCTCCACTATCTCCCGGAGCTTCAAACTCATGTCCATTGAGTCAGTGATGTCATCCAGTCATCTCATCATCTGTCGCCCCCTTCTCCTCTTGGCCTCCATCTTTCCCAGCATCAGGGTCTTTTGCAAAAGACTTTACTCATTTAGTGTCCTCACTTCAGCTATGTACACTTTTTTTCTCACCATGTGAGGCTCGTGGGTTATCAGATGTACTCCCTGGGGAAGAGCGTCCTGAGTCAGGAGTCCAGGTCAGCCACAACCCCTGGCTCCTGGAGAAAGGTACACTTCTCATCTGGCTGCAGCCTTGCCCACAAAACTGTGTCTCTCAAACAGAAGCCACTCCTACCAGACGCTGGTGACATGGTAAACAGCAAAGACGAATGCAAGAGAAACATTTCTCCTTAATTCATGATATTATTACAACAGAATGCTCCTTTCTAACTTACCCTGAATTCCACGGTGGAGTTAAATTCATGAGGACAGAAGATCTGAACACGTGCGTCCACTTTGTCAGAATCTAGAAAGGGTAGAATGCAAAGCAAACTTGGTGGGGCAAACTCCATGGAGCTGGGGTACAGCCCCAGTAAACCTCATGTCTTACCAGGATTATTTAGACAACTCAGATGATATTAGGCCAAAATTGTACATTGTTCTTCAGACTCCATAATTGTTCTTATAAAATATATATGTAAAATCTTCATAAATTTAGAAGATGTTTTAAAAATTTAAGAACAGATAATAGCATATAAAACATAAACAATATAACCAACACCATTGTTCTCACAGCCCAAGATTTATAACGGTTATACCTTTGTCCTATGTGGGTTGCCCTTTTTTCCTGCAAAGAAATAAAACATTACAAATGTCTAATGTCTAAAAATCCCTTTATCCAGTGCTCTCAGTCCTATTCCCTCTCTCTGTCCATCCTATGAGCTGGTACGTTTTTCTTTTTAATTTAGATGAATGCCATTTTACCTTTCGTGTTGTTCTGCAACTTGGTGTTAGCCCGTGTGTTTTTGAGATCTGTGTGGATGGAGTTTTTTCCTTTTAGTGACACGTAGTAGTACAACGTATGTACATACCGTATTTTATATATCTGTTCTCCTCTGACACGTAGTTCTGTTGTCTCCAGTCCTCTTGCCATCACAGAGGCCGGTCCATGAGCATTGTTGTACATGAGACCCTTACATCACTCAAATATCAGGTGGCTCAGTGGTAAAGAATCCACCTGCCAATGCAGGAGATGTCAGTTCAGTCCCTGGGTTGGGAAGATTCCCTGGAGAAGGAAATGGCAATCCACTCCAGTGTTCTTTCCTGGGAAATCCCATGGACAGAGGAGCCTTGCAGGCTGTAGTCCATGGGGTCCCAAAGACTTGGACACATCTTAGTGACTAAACAACAACAAAAACAGTTCCTTGATGTGCTTCTTAAATAGCTGGTTTTGTTTCTCACATGACAATCGGCGTTCCTCCTATTTCACATTTTTGCTGTGTTTGTGCCACAGTAACTTTTCTTTATTTTTTATTAATTATTTTTTTTTTACCGGGGACCTTTAGATTTTCAGTCTAAGCTCTCCTAACTGAGCTATTCCAGCTATTTTTTCTTGAAAAACGTTTTTTTTTGGCTCCAAGGCTTGTGGGACCTTAGTTTCTTGACCAGGAATCGAACCAGGCCCTTGGCAGTGAAAACACCAAGTCCTAACCACTGGACCACCAGGAGAGCCCCCACAGTAACTTTTAAATTCGCACCCTTGATGCCCTAGCATCATTGTTTCAAAGGAAATACTCAAGGAGTCTAGAAAATAAGGGAACAAACAAGTGAATGCCATTAAAAAGAAGTGGAATGAAAAAAAAGAGACAAAGAACAGTTGAATGATATTTTTGCAATCACATTGTTCACCACTAAGAAGCGTCAAGTTCGCTGTGTCCTCCTTGTAGGCTTTCCTTCTCTATCTACATCTCTTGAGCATCAGTGCAGGCCAGGCATCACGTTCTATGCTAAAAATTGCAGTGATCTGTTCTTCCATCTTGAAATTCTTTGGCAGTTGATGAAAAGCCTTGAACTTTGTTATTTAAAAATAGCCAGTTCTTGGACTTGGTGACGTGGTGCGTGGTGACGTGGTGCGAGTGTCAGGCTTATAGTCTGACTATTGCTGAGTTTAAAATTCACAGAGCTATTAGCTTTTTTTTTTTTTTTTGCCACGTTGGCATATGAGATCTTTGCTCCCCGAGCAGAGATCAAACCCCTAGCAATAGAAGAGCAGAGTCTTAACTACTGGACCACCAGGGAAGTCCCTGGAGCCATTAGCTTTTAAACAACCCTTTTGTCTTTTGGTAGCAACAACCATTGTATACTTTGAAGTAACTAGTGTCTGGAACAGGCTTTCTTAACCTGGGATTGAGTCCTAAAGCTCAACATGTGGTCCTGGAGGAAGGGGGGAAGTCCTCTGGAAATTTGTAAATATGTGTGTATATATTTTTCTGAAGGTTATAGCTTCTCCAAAGAGTCTGTAACTCCCCAAATGTTGAGGAAACTCTGTTTGCCTTGCTTCATTAAATTCCCTGCCCGGTGCCCTTTGTAACATAATCTGGAGGTTAAGTGCTTGGGTTACATAGTCGTAGCCCCTGAGTTTGAATCCTGGCTCTGCCATTTCATAGCTGTGTGACCTTAAACAATAAGGAAACTCTCTGGGCCTCAGTTCCTCATCTGTAAACTGGAGATAGCAATTGTAATATGTCATATGTTAGGAGTTGTGCTAAGGATTACATGAGTGTATATATAGCTTAGAAAATGCTCAGCACATAGTAAAGATTCTATAAATGTATTAGCTATTATTACTATAATTATTGCATAGACGTGGCACTTATGACAATGATGCTGAAAATCCTGATGACTGATACCTTCCTGAAGCCACTTAAGAGTGAATTAGAAGGAAACCCACAAGCACTGTTGAATAACCAGCTGACTCTTCTGGATAAAACTAACACAATCTTTCCTTTTAAGGCCAGCCAGTCTCTCAAGCCTGGGTAACCGGACTTGACTGTGGAGATGAGTATACTCAATTATAATGGCAATTACAGTGGAAAAGCAATTTGCTTTTTAGATATAACTAAAACGTGTACCGATTTTATTTTCCAACCTGGGGTGGAACTGACTCACAGCCATGGTTCTGGTTTCTCAACCTGTGGAGTGAGCATCCTTGATGCTGTACCAGAAGTAAGTGATGGACTGGGAAATGTAAACATTTTTTTTTTTGGCTACTCTGGGTCTTCCTTGCAGTGCACAGGCTTTTCCCTATTTGTGGCATGTGGACTCTCGAGGCCTGTTGCGCCGAGGCATCAGTTTCCCACCAGGGATCAAACCTGTGTCCCCTGCATTGGAAGGCAGAGTCTTAACCACTGGACCACCAGGGAAGTCCCTGGGAAACGTGAACTTTGGATGAGCTGTCCTAAAACTCCTCTCTCCTGGTTCTCCCATAGAATACTATGACAACCTGAGTCCACACCTGTACCCTTTGACATACACTGCTGAATGGGTTCATCAAATTAGATCAGATTAGAATTTGTTCCAAACATCACCTTTATCCAGCTTTCAATGACGAGTTTTCTCCAGAGTGTTGAATTTCAGGCTTATCTATTTACATTTGTTGGGCTGACTTGGCCTTCTCAAATGCCTGACAGTGATATTTTTCCCATGTACTATTTTTGAGGTCTCTCCTTTTTTTTTTTGTCTGTGCCACCCACAGCATGTGGGATCTTAGTTCCCCAGCCAGGGATTGAACCCAAGTCCCTTGCAGTGGAAGCGAGGAGTCTTAACCACTGGATCACTAGGAAGGAAGTCTCTCTCTCTCTTTTTTTTCTTTATTCCTTTCTTGCACAAGTAATTACCAGTCTCTGCCACAACCACCCCCAGGAGTTCACTTCCTGCAGTAATGGCTGCCTCTCTCCCTGGGCTCTCCCTTTGGAAACAAACATTCCTGGAAACCCTGATCCAAGAATGCCAAGTAAGAAATTGTGCAAAGGAATTTTATTCAGATGCTGGTTATCCATGAGACTTAAAATCCGATAGGTCTATACATAATTGCCTGAATATATTCAGGAGTGGGAGATTGAAGGCTAAGAGCTAACCTCCATTGCTATGTTTATCAAAACGTCGTCCATGGGTGCAGATGGCACCAGCTAAGTAATCTGTAAGACCTAGCGTTGAATGGAAGTGTGGGCCTCCTGTTGAGAATTTCAGGACAGGGACAAGGGAACATGAAACTATGTATGGGTCCTGTTGAGTGCAGAGAGGGATGCAGGGAAACTGAGTCTGCAGGAGACCAGGGTATTAGAATTGCCAGATTCCGACAGGCAAGAATCTGATTTCTGGGAATTCCCTGGTGGTCCAGTGGTTAGTGCTCCAAGCTTCCTCTTCAGGGGCTCTCATTCCATCCATAGTTGGGGAACTAAGATTTTACACGCCACATAGTAGAGCCAAAAAAAAAAAAAAAGAGAGAGAGAGAAAAATCTTGATTTCTGAAGCCTACTGTGTTAATGAATCAGAATCTCTGGGAACAGTGATTCTTCCTCCGTACCCACCCAATGTTTATAAGTAGAACTATATTGAAAAAAGAAAAAAAGAACTATCTTGAACATAAACATCCTCCTTTGTTTTCATATTGTTTATGGGCATTTTTGCACCACAATAGTAGTCAAATAGTTGGAACTGAAACTCTATAGTCAACAAGAGCTAAAGTATTTATTCTATGGCCTTTAAGAGAAAGTTGGTTGACACCTGATTTAATAAAATAAACGTATGCCTGGAACAAAAACCCCCCAAAACTTTGATTTTTTATTTCACTTTCTGTTTTCTAGTTTTCTTATTAAGACTAAGTACATTTACAGAAATCAGCAATGGTCATATTGCAGATATTTTCTATATAGCTAATATTTTTATTTTTATAGTTTCTAGAGGTATGTAAGCCATTTTTCACCTGAGAGTCTTTGATCTTTTTTTTAAATTAAAAATTCATTTAAGATCTTGTATAGGCAAAGGTTATTTCTTTAAAATAAATTAAAAAATTTTAATTTATTAATTTTTATTTTTGAAGGATAATTTCTTTACAGAATTTTGTTTTCTGTCAAACATCAACATGAATCCATTATAGGTATACATATGTCCCCTCCCTCTTGAACCCCCCTCCCATTTCCCTCTGCATCCCACCGCACTAGGTTGATACAGAGCCCCTCTTTGAGTTCCCTGAGTCATACCTCAAATTCCTGCTGGCTATCTGTTTTACATATGGTTAAATTAAATTTTTGTTTTATATTGGAGTATAGCTGATTTGCAATGTTGTGTTGGTTTTAGGTGTACAATAAAGTGATTCAATTTTGTGTATGTGTGTATATATATATATATATTCATTTCTTTTCAAATTCTTTTTCCATTTAGATTATTACAGCACTTTGAATAGAGTTCCCTGTCCTGTGCAGCAGGTCTCTGTTGGTTATCTGTGTTCAGTAGCTTGTATATGTT